ATACCTGATTCACGACTATAATCAAGATAGCTCTACATAAGAAGTGTGAAGCCTTACAAGATCTAATCAAAGAGGAAAGTGCTGTGGAGAACAATTAGGATGGGAGCATTACAGCTGACAAGAGGAAATACATGGAAGACCTAGCAATGACAGGAGAAAAGGCTGCTAGAGAAGGAAGTGAAAGAGAACTACATGATGCAACCAAGAAGCCAGCACGAGAGTTTAGTAGACCAGATCCACCAGTCAGGAACGAACGAAGAAAGTCAATTATGGACGTTCAACAGGAAAGGAACCGGTGGGTAGAGCATTTTAAAGAGCTCCAGAATAGACTGGCTACATTGAACCCACCGGACACTGTTATATCTCAAGGGGCCGTTTATTAGAGGACAGTGACTTATCGATCGGATCAAGGGATTCATAATCTTGATAGGCTATTCTGGTTCGTTGTACTCGACTAAGCTAACGCGATCAAGAAGTCTGGGTGAGGCGTGGAAAGTGTATTCTATAGGCAAACAGCAGATATCAAGTCAGGCCAAACACACAAGCGTATTTATACAAATATTTACAATTGATATTGTCATAGTAAAATGTTTTTAAACACTAATCAGTAAGTTCATCATTCGAGAGGTGTAAAATCCAAATTCTGGTTTTGTCTAATTAATAGCCGTCCAGGTACGTTACACACGCGCCCTTGCCCGTCGAAATCAAAACAAGTAATCGGGTAAATAGCGTTTCTATAATTCATCATAAATTTATATGTATATCGTTACCTAAACAAATATTACCACCCGGCTATTCAACCAATAATTGTTCAATCAATCAAATCTAAATTACAATAAATAAAGAAGTTGATAAAAGATGAGGGAAAATTACCAGTCACAACAAATGAACGTTATTCTATCCTGACTGGATAGAACACACACAAAAGGAGGAGCAAATCAATATGGCTACCGCCAAGAACAAGTGTCGAGTAAAACAACACTGATGCAGTTCGGGAAGAAACACGAAAACTTAGTGAAGGCGTAATAAAAATAAAAACTGTAATAAGATACAAATATTAACAATTCAAATGTAATCAAAAGACAACAATGTACAACTAAGGGGATCAATAGGAACAAAGGGCAAGTATATACATGGAGGGATTTTCACAAACACACAAAACATTCAAAATGGATCTTACACCGGCCCCCGAAATCCCTCCATACCGCACAAGCTACCTTGATACCTACGGTCATGGTTCATTATATAACATATTACACTATAGGAACGTGTAGGACTTACAGCAGTACGCCTACTCGACCTAACTACATAATTACCAAAAAAGACTAATCCGAAGCTTCAAGGAGACCTGCTTCACATGTTCTCTGGTGATCAACAATAACAGTCGTGGTATAGACCTAATCACTCTTCCCCAAACTCCACCCATGCTGTTGAATGAGGGTCTCTCTGGCAATTCAATATTTATCTTCTGCTGATTCGACTGTTGCACAAACCGCCTTAACTCATAAACTGCTCCCATGAAGCTTGACGCACTATCACTGTTAGTCTCTGGAGGTTTCCTTCTAATAAAACGTAATAAGGCCATTATAAATGAATCAGTAATCAAACTATACATCAGTTTAATATATACTGCCTATGTTTGCAAACAAGTAAACTCATATCCATATCCTTTTTCTAACGACCTTCCTATGTGCCCTTGTTCTTTATGACAGCGTCTAATTATCATTTCCGTCACTAAGTGTCGACTGGGTAAAATTACTGGATGTTTAAAAGCATTTGGGAAGTCTGAGTAGCTTAGCCGACCTGTAACACAGAGTAACCCATCAAGCATTATCGGTGATAAACCTTTCAGATCATCATGACTTACTACTTTACTGCTGTTTTTAAATTCACTAAGTAATTCTCCATACACTTCTCTCTGAACCATCAATAAAATCTTACGCTTGGTGATGTCAAGCTCTTTGACCTTTAAACATCCTAGGTGAACGGATGCTTCACAACTCGGTAAACAAAGTACCATCAGGAATTCGATGAACCTTCTAAACCAGGTTACAGCTCTGACTAATTTCAACCACTCGGAATAGTAGGAGAGAAAATGTGACATGTTGCACTTTATACTACTCAAGTTGACCACAGCAGTTTTTCTAAACTCAATATCGTCAGGAGTAGGTTCCGGACGGTCAGTGATTGTTATATAAAATTCGCCATGCAATAAAATAGGACATTTGAACCAAGATTCAAGATCAGTCATTTGTTGTATACCTTCTCTACATAATAATTCACTCATCTGCCTAACGAAACTCTTTGCTTGATCACAAGTGGGAAAGGATATCAAGCAATCATCAACATAGAAACTATTCTTGACAGCATCTACGACATAACTATCGTAACCGTCAGAGAATATTTGGGCCGTTTTATTCAAGGCAAAGGTCGCACGAAACGGCGATGATGTGGCACCAAATGGATGAGTTGTCATTTGAAACTCAGATGGTTCCCTCGACATGCCCCCCTCCTGCCACCACAGAAATCTTGAAGCTTCTCGATCAGACTCAGGGACCTTCACTTGCATGAACATTTCTTCAACATCCGCAGAGATTGCGACTGCGAAAACGCAATAATATACACACTAACTCAGCAGTTGTGTCGGGTCCTTGATAAATCATATCATTTAGAGAAACGCCTGCAAACTTGGCGGCACAGTCAAGGACCACTCTCAGTTTTTCTGGCTTTTTCGAGTTTAAAACTGCGTGGTGAGGTAAGTACCACCGGGAGCGATAACTAGGTTGCAATTGTATTTCAGGGATCTCCGCACAGCCCTTAATAAAATTACTCTCAATACCTTTTGTATACTTGATATACAGAATGTCATCTTTCAACTATCTACGCTTCAAACTCTGTAGTCTACAGTTTGCCACTTCATAATTCCCCCCTTTCATATTTGGGTTCACTTTCCATGGTATAGGAACTACAAAATGACCATTTTCGAAGCGTGTGCCCCCTTCTACAATCCTTATAGCCGCCTTATCTTCTATTGGTACTTATTCATCATTTGAATAAACATCAGGAAACTCTACATCATAAAGCTTACGTATTTCGTTCTCCAAAGTCTGTAATTTACTGGTATGATTAACAACTCTTTTCCTATATTCCGAATATGACTCAGGTCCGAAAACCGTATACCCCAGCAACGTTTTCACAGCGTACGGGTTCTTCCTTCCACCCAACCGTTGGTCTAACACCCAGTGTGCTTCTGGTACGTCGTAACCAATCAACAGTAAAACTTCTTCAGAGTATAGGCTATCTATTGGCACATCACTTAAATGCGGTCACTTAACTAGGTTGTTCATTGCCGACCTTGTTGGCTTATGACCTGGTATACTTGCTACAATCAGAGCTCCTTCAATCGTAACGTGTTCAGATCGATCTACAGAATATACCTCAAAAGGCGCACTCGTGACCTTCATTGTTCTATTACCTCCCACAGTCTCAACTACCACTGATGCTTGGTCTTCTATCAGCCCGATATACCTCAAACAGTTTGATTTTATCAGTGTCACATCAGAACCGTTGTTCAACAGAGCATAACACACAATCTCGGCATTTCGCGATTTCAACCGTACGGGAATCGTTCCTAAACACACTTGACTGATTAGTGATTTAGTAAATCCGCAACAATTCGGGATACCAGGTTTATCATTTTCTCTGTGCAGCAAAGAATGGTGTTTCCTCTCACAACCATTAACGTTACAACGTTTTGTCAGCTTACATTCATTAACTTTATGTCCTTGCCTAAGGCAGACAAAACAGATGCCATTAACTTTTGCGTGAGACCATCTCTCTTGAACGGTAAGCGCTAAAAATTTTGGACATTTATAAATAGCATGGTCCGGGAAACACACACTGCATTTAGCTCTCTCTCTCGAATTATTCTTCTGCTCCAATTGCAAGTGACAATTTGACTTTAAGTTGTGTCCCTTTTGTTATGACCTTGGATGTCTGGTTTTTCTATCACGCGATTTATCTACCAATCCGAATACGACTTATACGGATCTTTACACTAGGCCAACCAATGACGTTCAACCGGTGTGGGCAGTTTAGCGCCCTTTATTGGTCCTGTCCTACGAGCCCTTCCACTTGAGTCCAGAACAAGATACCAGCTTCCGAATCAGAGCAGATCGTTTATTTCAGGCATACTTGGTTTATATATCAATCACACAGACCGCAACGTACCATAAAATAGGAAATAATATTTGTACACAAATAAGCCCAAAAAGTGGCTGTGAATGTGGGAGGCAGTAGTTAATAAACTGAACATAACTTAAGAACCGTAAATCGTACAATAATAAGTTATAGGTCAAAATAAAGCTTATCATAAAAGGAATATAAATATACATAGTGTAATTGTTGAGTAGTTATACAATAAGAATATTTATAGAATATTAGTCCATGAATAGTCCTTGGAATTTACCTGTAATTTAATCTTCACCGGATATAACACCTTTCTCGGACGATTCGCTAACCATCCAAACCTACTATTAGCTACTCTCGCGCGGTATGCTATAAATTGGGTAAGCTCGTCAAAGGTCGGTTCTCTATCATCTTCAGTCAATTCATCCACCCAGTCCGCCCACTGGGCTTGCATAACTTGAGGTAAGAGTCTTACTATTCTCTCGAAAGTAATTAGAGAGTTTAAGTCGGCCGTATACTTCATCTGATTCAAAACCATAGAACAATTTTCCATCCTTATAGCTAGATTTGTCAGCTGCTCAGGATCACTGTAATCAACATTTGTAGTTTTGAATAAGTCCTCTAAAGTTTCCCTAGCGATTACATGCGCCTGTCCGAACAACCGTTTTAGAATATCTTTGGCCTTCTTGTAACCAGAAGAGGCTTCCAACATAACACAACCCTCAATGGCTGTTTTCGCCTTACCCTTACAATAATGTATCAAATAAAGCAAGCGTTGACCATCATCCTTGACCCTTGATTCTACATAGGTCTCAAACTCCCTTAAAAACTTCCAATAACCTCTTGGTTGACCGTCGAAATAACTTAACCTTTGGTAACTCTGGACCTACGAAAGGCGCCGTTGGCATCACGCTTTTCGCTTGCTTCATGTCTAAACTAAGGTTTTCTATGCCATCTGCCATTATATCGCAACTAGATTCACTATAATTAAAATCGTCCCTATTAGAATATGAACCATGACACATAGAGGCATCAGAAGGCACTTGCCTTGATTGAGGGGATCCATCCTTTTGTTCATCCCTCTTAACATCCACGAGCCTTGGACTTAATTTCCTTCCACGATTGTTTGACATCGCAAGCGAACGACCAAATATTCCAAGAGACAATGATTGGAATCAACGAGACGAAAGCCAAACGAATTCGACCAAAATATTTGTTTAGAACTGTAAGATCCAAACTACGGTTCGGATAGATGAATAGCCGTCCAGGTACGTTACACACGCGCCCTTGCCCGTCGAAATCAAAACAAGTAATCGGGTAAATAGCGTTTCTATAATTCATCATAAATTTATATGTATATCGTTACCTAAACAAATATTACCACCCGGCTATTCAACCAATAATTGTTCAATCAATCAAATCTAAATTACAATAAATAAAGAAGTTGATAAAAGATGAGGGAAAATTACCAGTCACAACAAATGAACGTTATTCTATCCTGACTGGATAGAACACACACAAAAGGAGGAGCAAATCAATATGGCTACCGCCAAGAACAAGTGTCGAGTAAAACAACACTGATGCAGTTCGGGAAGAAACACGAAAACTTAGTGAAGGCGTAATAAAAATAAAAACTGTAATAAGATACAAATATTAACAATTCAAATGTAATCAAAAGACAACAATGTACAACTAAGGGGATCAATAGGAACAAAGGGCAAGTATATACATGGAGGGATTTTCACAAACACACAAAACATTCAAAATGGATCTTACAACAGGTATTCAAATATTTAATCGATAAGTTCGTCAATTGACATCCATTCAAATATTTAACATTTAATCGATAAGTTGATCCATAATATGAAATTACAGAATATGAGTTTTGGGGACAGAAGCAACACACACAGACCTCCCTATAAATGTTACCGCACCGACCAATTAAAGAAATCAGCAAAGCCACCAATCAGACAAGTCAATAATTACAAAGCAGTGGACCAGACAGCACACCAACTGAAGCACTGAAGTCAGATATAGTGGTAACTGCAAAGATGTTACACGTTCTTTTCTCAGAGTTGGGATCAAGAACAAGTACCAACAAACCGGATACCTCCTCAATACACCAAGGGAAGGTGAGAGGACTGTAGACGCACCACACTACTTTCAGAACCAGACACAGTTTTCAACTGAGTGTTAATGGGCCGGATGAAAAACTCAGTAGACGCCCAACTTCCAAATCAACAAGCTGACTTGCATAAGGATTGATTATATACCAACCAAGTCGCAACATTGCCAATCATTGTTAGGCAATCAATTAGACGAAACTCATCGCTACACACCAACTTCCTCCATTGTAAGAAGGCGTTCGACAACATGGATAGGAAAACTTAGTGGAATATTATTCGGCACTATGGTATCTTCATTATCACACGGAATTTATACGTCAGTCCAATTAGCCATATGCAATTGTGAACAACATGCTATGGCAGGGAACAGACCAGCTTCCAGATCAACGGGAAATTAGGAAAATTAGCTGTAATTTGATACGACTCACATTGTTGAGATTTGCCAAACCACATCTTAAAGCGAGCCCTAAATTGAAGCGCTCAACTCTTAAGGAAACGAGACAAACCAAAGAATAGTTGGGGCTGAGAAATGCTGTCATCGACGTTGTTGCTCTTATTTGGATAAATGAGGAGAATATTGAGCGAAACTGTTTAGTGGGCTTATCTAAGGCTCACAACATTTCACTCTCTTTTACTTGTTTTCTAAAACAATAACATATCACAGAGGATATTAGTAGAAACAGATTTTTGCTTGATTGTTTCAGGAAATGCAAACAAGCAAATGTAGTGAATCAGTTAATTTGATTGGTTGTAACGAACATACATGAGAACACTGTGAATCAGAAATGAAGCATTTTAGTCTCACAAATATTTTACAAGCAAGCTCACCTAACTATTTTTAAATGTGAAACTAGTGATGATAATAAACATTGTCAGCCTGTCATTATAAATATTTGTATCTCACACTATTTTTTGTTATCCAGGCGAAATATGTAATTAAAATAAGAATTAATGGAAAATTTTCTATGTGATCCTGACAGATATGACCTAATATATTTTCTGAGTTTTAGTCATCATTGGAAGGATCTAAGAATAAAGATAGTCATGTTAGTATACATGATATTGTTGTACATCATATTTTCCCCAATTGGGATGCTGATTCACTCTTATTTGCAACAATTCTTCTCAATTATTAGGGCGATTGTGTGTCAAAAACCAATGTATATGTTACGTTATTCTATATTAGTCGAAAACACCGACGTTATGCAATGGGATGAACCATATCATTACTTGCAATGAAAGCCTTCATTAGGCAAAAGTTTTAAAATGTAAGGCAATTATGATGACTATGAATGAATTCTGAAGAAGCAAAACGCAGAAATTTCTTTGACGAAGATTATTTGTATTACCAAAAGTTATGGAGCGAAAGTGATTGAGACCGTCAGATTATATTTTTTCTGTACCATTTACTTGTGCACATATTCACTCGATTATTCTTGCTATGGAACAACCGTTCGAGAAATTGTCATAAAGTTTGTTTTTGTTAATCCAAAGCAAAGTTAAGTGTTTTTTTAAAAGAGAACATGAACACAAATACTGCACCAGACAGACATGACACACAAAAACCCAAATGATTTTAATTTAAATACTGTCTTACATCATTTATCAATGACATCATTTATCAAATAACTTTGCTTATACAATTATCATCATTAACAGTTTCACTTTACCAATAGAATAAGTTCAACTGTGTACAGTTTTTTACTAATGGGCTATAATTAGAAATCATTTAACTTGTCATATTGTGTGATACTTACTTTAGATATTCATCTATGAATTAAGATCTGAACATTAACTCACTGAAGTTCATACATGAAAAAGTGTTTGTCGATTTGAGTTGACCCAATGTTGCGAACATTCTACGTGCAAACCTTTTCAAATTGAGGAACGTATGATTTATTAATGACGAATAGAACTTTTCCCAATGGAAGCGTTCGTTTATATTATTTTAGGTTCGTGTATGTATGACTTGTATCTAAAGATCATAATTAGATTTCCCAATAACAACAAATGAAGTATTCAGTAAATTAAACTTTGTTGCAAGGTTTTTGAAATCTTCTACAAGTCGTAAAAATTTATTTTATGGACCCAAAATCTAGTAGATCTATACGTGAGTAGATTCTGCAGAGATTATTTTTGCATTAATGTCTGTAAGCATGCTAAGTTAAACTTTTTAAGTTTCTTAAACAACAAATTGACCTTCATTTCAAATGTTGTAATTTCCAAAATAGTCTAACATTAACTGCAGATACAAGAAATATGATTCCCTGAATAAACAGAACAGAACCCAGTTAGTGAGAATCAACTTAAATCACTTTACAACATGTTACATAAAATATTTTCTAATACTTTAATTTAATGTACCAGGTTTCCTTAAAATAATGTACAATTATCTCACTTCCAATCACTTTTAGAATCTATTTTGAATAATACCACGAGCCACATGTGTCCTACTATCAGTAATTTACCCTACTCATGTCTAAAGCATTCTTTAATGTTAATTAAATTATCATTGTTTTTCTACTTTAAAGTGGCTGTGAATTTTGATGTAATTATCTTTATATTCATATACTCTTTTAATTTTGGAGAATAGTGGTTACATTTCTAAAACAGTGATCTGGAATGACACAAATTATCTTTGATTACATTATCTTCACTACACTAGTGTTATTATTTGAAAAAAATTAATTTGAAATTAGTAGGTTGTGGTTATTGATTTCAAACATATAACAATCTACTAATGAAAATGTTAATACAAAGATAAACATTGTTTTTTCCTTCAAAAAGTACATTTCACATGGTTTCTATCGATTATCGACACTAACAATATATAATACATTAGTTTTAATTAATATGCTGTTTGTGAAGTTTTAAAAAATCGACACGCTCATTGTGTACCCTACTCTGATTTAGAATTTTGTAACACACTAATCATTTAGATTTTACAAGTGATTTCTTAAATTAGAACATAAAATATGTAGTTAGTGTGTCATTCACCTTATATCCATTCATTTTTATAGTCATTCCCATTCATGTCTCTCTAGGCTAACAGTAACAGACTGACAATCTCATGTGAAATGTATAGTGTGTGCACTTAAAATCCAATCAATAATAATAATGTATCACCCAACGTCACCGCATAGATCTACACAATAATGCATGATTTACGTCACATGCATATTAATGTTACAAAAATAAATTTCGTCAGAAAGAAATAAACCAACAAATCCATCTTTAATAAGAAAAGATCATTTTTCTGTGGCTAATTTTACATCTCCAACCAACTGGCAATATTGCGTGACGATCAAACATTGCCATTGTTGATAGCTGTGTCAGTTAAATAGGATCGATCTATCGAATAAAATGTAAAAATGAATTAAGGTGTTTATTTGCTTGTCTTTGACAAAGATAAACAAATGAATCCTGTTTTTATGGTTTGACTTTAGTTAGAAAGCCAATGCAAACAGAAGAACATTGGACGGCTGTTAGCAATTTCTCGGTATTGATAAACCTGAAACTACACCGATCACCATAACCCCCGTCTACACGAACAGTCGTCATGTGTTTACTAGCAACTGGTTTCGAGGAGTAATTTCCAGGGTTCTAGTAAGAAGACGTCGAGTTTAATCATATCAGGAATGAAACAAATCTCACCAAAAGTAATAGGTAATGGTTGGATGGTATCGCGAATCGACTGTCTTTAGAAATCATTGGATGTCGTTTCACCAATCAGAAAATCAAATATTAATTATGAGGCATGAACTTTCCGAGTTAGATTCCTTGACTGGTCATGGGTGCGCATAACTGAGGAATCCCATTGTTAAGTTGGGTTCTCATTCTCTGCTCATGAACTTATATTTGTGTATTATTTTATACTACTTAATAATATTCAGTAAATAATAGTATTCCTGACAATTTCTACGCTTACGTTGTTTATTGGTCGTGTAATATTCTGAAGTATTTTGTACATATTTATAGCGTTTGTTGTATTTATTATCATTATTTTA